ATGGCACCTAAAGCCCAAATCAGATCACGAAGCGGACTCACTCCCCCAGCGCCTCTCGACCACAGTCCGGGGGCTTATATGAAAGGTTTGACACAAGCGGAGAATACAAAAGTGCATGAGAGAGACTGTGTGAAAATGCGTGTCACAGGAAGACGTAATGTGACGCACAATATCAAGTCCCCACTCCCCACCCCCCGCGACACTGACCCCCTCATCCGCGCTGGGAAGCGGGCCTTGGCCGAAGTTTTGATCCACGCCAGAGCACAATTCCAGGAATTGTGCTTAGGCGCGAATGCCGTGGTCACATGGCACCTAAAGCCCGGATCTAATCACGAAGTGGGCCCTGGCACACTTTAACCGGGCTTTAAGCTGTGCATGTGACCACAGCCTTAGTCTGCAGTACCACGGGTGCCCCCTGTGCCCATCGGTGGGCCAGCTATAAGCTAGTAATACTCTATTCAGTTATTATTATAGTTCCATGGCACAAACTCACAGCTCAGTGAGGATCTCCGATGCAGACACAAGGCCAATGTTTGTGCTTGTAGCGTGACTAAAATGTGCAGAGGTTCAAGTTGTATTAATACTCCTGCAAGGCACTATATAAAGAAAAAGATGTGAAGACTAATAGGCCAATGATTCATTTGATATGATTAACTTCTAATTACGTCTTGGTTCACATTTTAGAATAAATGAATGCTATTGTTGTTTACCATTTATTGAAAATCATGGGGACACTAAAAATGGTCTTGAGTTTGACATGGCTGTTCCTTTTCATATTTTCTCCAAGCTAATTTAGTTTCCACTTTTCTTCACTATTCCATCAGGTCAATTGTTTGTAGCTGCGCTGTTAGATAAATAAAGCAACCATTTAAAGGTGTAGGCTATTTGTATTTCCATGTAGTTGTGAGTGCTTTGTAGTGGTTGATCTGTAAATTAGCTGTCATTGTCAATGCACAAGTGAGAACAAATCTGTCCCATTATTTTCCTAGTGTAGCCACAGTAATGAAACATACTGTTGGTACATTTCAATTTCATAGCCTTAGAAGTGTGCCATTATAGCCCGCACTCTCCCACTCAGAGGGAATGCATACTAATAACGATAATAATTCTGTATAATGGAAGTGACATGGCTGACTCCCCGGTGGGCTATTACAGATGATATCATAAATCCAACATATTGACTTTTACCAGCTCAATAATGTATGATTACTAGCATGACTGTGTAGGTGACCTTTACAGATTGAATATCCGTGCATGTGCAAGTGCTGTCTAGTTTCATGTGCTTACGTCTCAAGGAAATATTTCAGTTTATTTTTTTTGTTTTTTCAGAACACACATACACATTCAACATGCATACAAAATGTCTTCTCATTCCCAAATGTTACGTTTTGTTTGGCTAAATATGTACATTGATATCAGTCCTGGATCTATAGCCCATTGTGAGGGTCTAACAAAAAGGACAGTGATGATTATCTTGGACACTCAACATTCAACAACATTTATTGCAGATCGTTTGAATTTGAATTCGTTTAACCGGTGGTTGACCGTCGCAGCGTTAACCGGTCAAAGCTGTCGGTTAAAAAAAAGAGGGAGGGGAACACTTGTATCTTAACTTTAGCAGAGACCAGCGGCTCGTCATTCGCTGCTCTGACCATGTGAACGAGCCGTCGTTTGCTTAAAAATGCTTGCAGCACAGAAGAATGGGAAGTTTAAAAAAGCAGTTCTCTGTTCGCAAAGGTGCCGAAGCTGTTGCTGGTTTTGGCGGCGCTGTCTCGCCTCTGATCCAGTAGAACGTATAGCTGTACTTATGAAAAGTACGTGGCTCGAAATTACTTTTGTTAATGAACTTGTTAATGAGGCTCAGTGGTCGGTCATGAAAATTCATAGTTTTTTACATCCCTAGTTCATACACAAGGTATCTCAAAGTCCTTAACAAAACAAGAAACATGACACACGTAATTAAAATCATAAATAATAATAATAATAAGGAAGGTACAATTCTTCACTTGCATGATCCGCTAAACATGAACTTTTCATGAAGACTGTTCCAGATTTTAGCTGCATAAATCTGAAACATTGGCTCCCCTTGGTCCGTGTTGACTCGGGGAACCAGTAGGAGGCCAGTCCTAGTTAACAAACGTTTTGCTATCGGATTGGCCTTTCATTTACACCACAGCAGTGTTTCACGGGGGTGAAAATGCAAGCATTGAAAAGCGGCAGGGAGCCGTATCACAGCCGTGTGAAGAAAAAAGTGTGAACTCCTGAGCTGCGTTGACCTCACCTCTTCTCCCCCCATACATGTGGACATGCGCAGTAGCCGAGAACAAACATAAACAACCAGCTCCTCCACGTAACAAGCGTCACATGGAGGAGCAATTCTACTCCTTTGTTCATCCAAACAAAACCATGCAAAGCTGTTGTAGTTTCCATTTTCGCTTTTTCTATTAAATGCAGAATGATGTTGGCACATTCTTATCCGTTTTGCGGTGGCCTGAGGAGGATATTATTGAGGAAGTGGTTGTAGTTACTTGTTTTATTTTTTATTTTTTTATTTAACGTTTATACATGTAGTTACAACAATGAGGAAATAGTGCCAGGGGATACATTACACACATTACACCAGAGGAAGATAATTCATAAAAAAAAAAACAACATTCATACCAAAAATATTAAGAGGAGCCAGGAGTAAGACTGTACTTTTCTAGTATATACATTGTTTTACCAGCTTTTTTATTTTGTATTGAATTAATAGTAGAAATATATAGGTTCATGTCTGCAAGAAAAGTATAGAAGTTTGGTTTTTTGTCAGCCCATTTCATTTTATGTAGGTGATATTTTCCCATTAAAATATAAAGCTGAATAACAAATTTCAGATCTCTATCAATTTTTCGATCAAAATAGATACATACATCTTTGGCATTTAAAATAATTAATTGTCCAATTTTCCGGTAGAGATAGTTTTGAACATCAATCCAAAATATTTTACAGTACATGCATTCAAAAAACAAGTGAATAATTGTTTCCTTGTGTAGTCCACAGAAAACGCACGAAAAGTCAATATTCAGTTTAAACCGTTCCAGAACATGTTTTGCGGGGTATATTCTGTGAAGAATCTTAAAAGACACCTCCTTTATCTTGTTGGTTAGGCAGTATGTGTTTGTGACGTTCCTTGCTTTCTTCCAATTGACACTGCCATATAGAGACACCCAGACATGTTGAGATGGAGGAGTAGTGTTTCCAACAATAATATTTTGTATGTCCTTGTTTCTGCATCTTTTGTTGAGAATGTCTATGTCCCCCAGAAAAATGCCATCTCTCCATTGTCCTATGTTGGTATTACAAGTAGTGTCTTTGGAACAGTCTTTGAGAAGCAGTAGAGCACCTTGTGGGATGGCATCAAACACCACAGCATATTCCTTAGGCGTTCCATCGACATGGGTCAGTCTGCACTCTTTGAGTGGGAAGAGAACAGATTTTTTAAGATTCATTTTTAGGCCAGAGACATGAGAAAATTGACTAACACATTGCACAGCTTTTGAGACTTCTTCTTTATCCTTTAGAAACAATGAAGTGTCGTCGGCTAGTTGACAAATTTTAAATTCAGTACCTAAAGTTGAAATACCTCTAAAATGATCCATTTTGATATATGAAGCCAACATTTGTACTACTAAAAGGAATAAAAAGGGAGAGCATGGGCAGCCCTGTTTCAAACCACGGTGAAGTTGAAATCTTTGCGTAGTACCATAATGTAATTTTATTGAGCTGTTGCAGCCATTGTACAGGGTTTGAACTGCTTTCAAGAAATTTGGACCAAAACCTAAAAATTCCATTACCTTGAACAAAAAAATGTGTTCGACAGTGTCAAAGGCTTTATAATAGTCAATAAATAGTATGAAACTCTCAGTTGGTATCAGGTAATTATAGTCAATCATGTCCAGTATAAGCCTGATATTGTTATGAATATTTCTACCCGGCATAAATCCTGATTGTTCCTCATCTATTATATCTTCAAGTCCAGTTTTTAACCTTTTGGCAAGAATAAGGGAGAACATTTTACAGTCATTGCTACACCAGGACTAAACCAGGGTTGACAATGGGGGACATAGTGCTTGTGAACTTGAGCGTTTTCAAGCTCCCGTGACTTTATGCAACTGCTTCGAGCCTGTTCGCCGATGCGGAAGTACCGTTTAATAATAAAATAAACGTATGGCGCACCTCCGTGAACACATTCTACTGTTATATAAAGTCTGTGGAAGGTCTCTGGACACAGAGACGCTGCAAAGCTGCATTATTGGAGAAGAACCTTACACAAAAAGCCGCTAGCTTAACTCCGTGAGTATCAAAGCCCGCCCGCTACTTCCGCCACTTCCGGCGGGCGCCACCGCAGCTCAGGACTTCTGGTCTGAAGACCCCTGCGTCTGAAAATTAGAAAATGTGCGTCAGCTTTCCAGCGTCGGCGGTGTGACGGCACCTTTCAGAGTTGGTTCATATGGCACTAACATGTCACAGATGTACTTGGGTGCGAGGCCATGGAGAGACTTGTACACAAGCAGAGCTGTTTTAAAGTCTATTCTGAACTACAGGAAGCCAGTGCAGAGACTTGAGGACTGGACTAATGTGGTTGTACTTCCTGGTTCTAAGACGAGTTGTGGTCTGCTTTATTTGGCTTTACAAGACTCTTTATGTTACATAAAAAAGTTAGATACCCCAGCTTTAAGTAATTAAAGTCTTTGTCATTTGTTGATTGCTACTTGTCTAATTGCAATTTCAATTTGATTGCAATTAATCTTGTAGCCCTATTGGAAACTCAATCCAAAGCCAATTGCCTCGGTTCTAAAGTGGGTCTACCAGAGTAGACGACCCCATATAATCAATTCCTTGAAACAAAAGCATACCTGAGTATTTTATAATCATTACATTTGGCCGTCACAATTTCCACAAATGTATGTTCCCCCTCCAGCATAGCACAATCTATAAAGCTGACTGAGAATTACATTGGAATGAGCTTCTCAATCACTGAAGAAAAGAACATTGCAAGCGACACGATGCCCAATAGCTCCACACACTATGGGTGTTATCATGAAAATATAATAATATACTCAACGTAGCGATGTTTCTATAACTCTTGAAGAAAACGACAAAGTCTGGGATCGTGTTGAGTTGGTGCTCTCACTATAATTATTATTATTATTATTATGAATGTTTACGCCTGTATTTATGTTGAGAAGACTGTTTTATTTACATTTGGATAACTCTGTTTTCTTTTCCTGTTTACCAATGGGCGTGGTTAATAAATTGTCCAGCGCCGCAGCTGACGCTGGTTGCGCGTAATGGAATGAATGGAATGCAGTGTGTCCCGAGTTCTATTTCCTCCATATATCTGTCTCTTGTCTCTTTATCTGGGTTCACAACGCAAATCTGCTGCTGGATTACCTCTGCCAACAGGTTATGGGCCCAGAGTAACCCAGAGTAACCCAGAGTAACCCAGAGTAACCCAGAGTAACCCAGAGTAACCCAGAGTAACCCAGAGTAACCCAGAGTAACCCAGAGTAACCCAGAGTAACCCAGAGTAACCCAGAGTAACCATGAGTAAACGGGTCGGAGATCCAAGCCGCTGGTCTCGCCTGTTGTTTGATGGAGATGAGAAAAATTATGAACTGTGGGAGACAAAGTTCTTGGGCCACCTCCGTTTGCAAGGCCTGAAAGACATTATTCTCAATGTACCCGATGCGGGAGACGCAGAGGAGCAACTTGAACAGGACGCCAAAAATGCAGAGGCTTACGCAGAACTCATTCAATTCCTGGATGATAAAAGCTTGTCATTGGTAATGCGGGAAGCAGCCGATGACGGACAAAAAGCCCTGGGGATTTTGAGAGACTATTATCAAGGCAAAGGAAAGCCACGTATAATCAGCCTTTATACCGAGCTGACGTCACTTCATAAGAGTGAGAATGAAAGTGTGACTGAATATGTGATTCGCGCAGAGACAGCCATCACAGCGCTGAGGAATGCCGGTGAGGCTCTGAGTGACGGACTATTGGTCGCGATGGTCCTCAAAGGGCTTCCCGAACTCTTCAAACCGTTTGTGATCCATGTCACACAGCTCGATGAGTCCATATCTTTTGCTGAGTTCAAAACAAAGTTACGCAGCTACGAGGACACTGAGAGGATGCGGGTGTGTGCAGCGGAAGATAACGTGATGAAAGCGCGTGTGCAGCAGAGATGGAGACCTGCTGTTACGGGTGACCGAGGAGCGGACCGAGGAGCGGGCCGAGGAGCGGGCCGAGGAGCGGGCCGAGGAGCGGGCCGAGGAGCGGGCCGAGGAGCGGGCCGAGGAGCGGGCCGAGGAGCGGGCCGAGGAGCGGGCCGAGGAGCGGGCCGAGGAGCGGGCCGAGGAGCGGGCCGAGGAGCGGGCCGAGGAGCGGGCAGGACAGCGACGGATTTAACGTGCTTCAAATGTGGATTGAAGGGACACTTGGCCAGAGCCTGTCAGCGCAGACTGTGGTGCAGTCACTGCAGGAGCACTACGCACCGGGACACCACCTGCAGGAGGAAACAGCGCAAAGACCGGGACGACGCTCACAAAGCCTCCGAGGAGTCTGCAGGAGACCAGGAGTACGCTTTCAGAGCGAGCGAGGGGTCTGCAGGTGTCGACATGAAGGGCCTGATGGTCGACTGCGGGGCAACCTCGCATATAATTACGGATCTCGCAAAGTTCCAGAGGTTCGACCAAGCATTCCAGGCAGAGACACACTGCGTGGAGTTGGCTGATGGGACAAAGTGCCAGGGGGTAGCAGTGCGCCGCGGAGATGCTGAGGTCAGTTTGATTGACAGCTGTGGCAGGCATCTGCGCACCACGCTGAGACGAGCACTGTACATCCCTTCCTATCCACAAGACATATTTTCGGTGAAAGCAGCCACCTTGAACGGGGCCACTGTGACGTTCAAGAACGGGAAGGACTGCCTGATTCACAAAGACGGTACGAAATTCCACATTCACGAACATTCCAGACTGTATTATTTACACACTGCAAATAACGATGAATGTGATGACCAATGCAAGGGGTGTTTTGACATGCAAACATGGCACGAGATTTTAGGACATTGTAACTATGATGATATCCAGAGGTTACAAAGTGTTGTTGATGGTATGAAAAAAAAAAGGGTCGCCAAACCAACATCCACAGTGTAAAGTGTGTATGCAGGGGAAGTTTTTCCAGACTAGAAACAGACAACCAGATATAAGAGCTAAAAGGCCTCTGGAGCTAGTGCACACTGATTTAGCAGGGCCAATTCACCCGGAGTCTAGAGACAGTCACAGATATGCGCTTTCCTTCACTGACGACTTTTCCAGTGCGGTTTTCGTATATTTCTTAAAGAATAAAAGTGACACTGTACTTGCTACTGAAAAGTTTCTAGCTGATACGGCTCCATATGGCAAAGTCAAGTGCTTCAGGTCAGATAACGGTACAGAGTACACGGGGAAAGAATTCCAGGCCCTACTAATTAGACATAAGATCAAACATGAAAGGTCTGCCCCTTACTCTCCCCACCAGAATGGCACTGCCGAGCGAAATTGGCGTACGCTTTTTGATATGGCACGATGCATGTTGATTGACAGTGGTCTTCCAAAAGAACTGTGGACTCATGCGGTACAGACCGCCGCTATTGTGAGAAACAGATGTTATAATAAACGCACAAAGCAGACTCCATTTGAAGGACTTACAGGTCTGAGGCCTAATCTATCTAAAATGCAGAAGTTTGGGTCACAGTGTTTTGTGTATAAACAAGACAAAAGGAAACTGGATCCAAAATGTGAAAAGTGTGTATTTATTGGATTTGACAAAAACAGCCCGGCATATGTTGTCTATTTTCCTGACACTAAGAAAGTGCAGAAGCACAGGCTGATACAATTTGTGACTAAAACTGGTGTAGAGCAGCAGACACAGACTAACTTTACACCTTCTGATTTTGTGCAATACGAGTCGAGAAGTCCAGGTTACAGTGTTCCAGGTGGACTAAAATCTGAGGAGATCAGTGACCAATCAGAATTTAGCCCACATGAAATACAGCCAGTAGAGGGCGAGAGTGAGCCTGAGCCTGAGCCCAGACGTTACCCTGTGAGAGAGAAAAGAATGCCAGACAGATACACAGACTGCAAAGTATCTAATTATGTGTCTGAAGAGACCGATCAAGTCCAGAGTAACATTGATTACTGTTATCGAGTTATTTTCAACATACCTGTCTCATTTACAGAAGCAGTAGCCTCAGAAAGATCCAAAGAGTGGATCCAAGCAATGGATGAGGAAATGCAGTCACTTAGAGAGAACGAGACATTCACCCTAACCAGCTTGCCCGAGGGTAAGAGAGCAGTGGGGGGTAGATGGGTGTATGCAATCAAAAATAATATTGACGGGTCTGAGAAGTATAAAGCCCGTTTCGTTGCAAAGGGGTACAATCAAAAAATGGGTGTTGACTATGAGGAGACATTTTCCCCCACAGCCAACCTCACAAGTATCCGAGTAATAATGCAAAAAGCAGCTCAGGAAAATTTGATTTTGCACCAGATGGATGTAAAGACTGCCTATCTGAATGCACCAATAGACTGTGAGCTATATATGGAACAACCTGAGGGTTATGTGGTCAGATCTCACAAAAAGGAAACGTTGGTATGTAAACTACAGAAGTCACTGTACGGGCTGAAACAATCGGGCAGAAATTGGAACACATTTTTAAATGATTATTTGACTCAAAATGATTTTACCCAGAACCAGACTGATCACTGTGTTTATGTCAGAGAAACAAAGCGTGATAAGGTCATCATGGTTATTTGGGTTGATGACCTAATCATTGCAGCAAGTGATGTAAATGCATTGAATGTGGTGAAGAACATGCTTACAGCAAGGTTTAAAATGAAGGACTTGGGGAGACTTGGACATTTTCTAGGCATTGATTTTAACCAGAGTGATGACAGTGTAACAATGACACAAGAAAAATATGTCATGAACATTCTGAAGAGGTTCAACATGCAGGATTGTAAACCGAGATCCACACCCTGCGAACAAAAATTCAATTATGAAGACACTGCTCCAATAATGAGTGATGTTAAAAAATACAGGGAAGCAGTGGGAAGTCTCATTTATTTAACTTTTTGTACTAGACCTGATTTAAGCTTTGTTGTAAGCAAACTGTCACAGTACTTTTCCAAACCAACTGAACAACAGTGGGGTACAGTTAAACATGTACTGAGGTTTCTCAAAGCCACATGTAACAAAAAGTTGTGTTACAGGAGATGTGATGGACAGTTGGGACTCCGAGCATACAGTGATGCAGATTGGGCTGCTGATGTCCATGACAGGCGGAGTATGTCTGGTTATTGCATAAGCTTAACTGAGGAGGGCCCCCTAGTGTCATGGAGAGCTAAAAAGCAGGCGACTGTAGCATTGTCCACTTGTGAGTCGGAGTATATTGCACTGGCTGCCACCATCCAAGAATGCCTGTATCTCAAACAACTCTTGGAGAGCATGGATCACAGTCAATATGCACTGCCCAAGGTGTATGAGGACAACCAAGGCACTGTGGCCATAGCCAAGAATCCTGTCAGCAGGCAGAGATGTAAACATGTGGACATAAAGTACCATTTTATACGCTCCATTTTGAACCAGGGGACAATGTCCCTAGAGTATTGCCCTACAGAGCAGATGGTTGCAGATCTGATGACCAAACCTGCAACAAAATTTAAGTTGAACAAGTTTGATGAATTCCTATTTGGAATTGACTAAAGAGTTTTTTTTTCCCGGTTGATGTAATGTAAGAGCAAGTGGGGGTGTTGAGTTGGTGCTCTCACTATAATTATTATTATTATTATTATGAATGTTTAAGACTGTTTTATTTACATTTGGATAACTCTGTTTTCTTTTCCTGTTTACCAATGGGCGTGGTTAATAAATTGTCCAGCGCCGCAGCTGACGCTGGTTGCGCGTAATGGAATGAATGGAATGCAGTGTGTCCCGAGTTCTATTTCCTCCATATATCTGTCTCTTGTCTCTTTATCTGGGTTCACAACGCGAATCTGCTGCTGGATTACCTCTGCCAACAGATCGTGTCTTTAATTTGATTTAGTTTTATTGTCGTTGGTAGGCGAGCACGAACAAAGATGTTACAGAATGCAAGTGATATTATACAGCATGGAGGAATGGAGATCTCCAATCATCTTTTGCCACGGTGCCAGTAGCTTCAACGTTGAGATAACCAAAATATGCAATGGAAAAGTACTGCCTTGTGCATATTGTTAGAATGATGAGTTAGAACTTTAACAGTTTTGCTTCAAAGTGTCATGAAATATCCAAACTATAATAGGCCCCACAATGGGGGAATACTTCAAATACACCCAGTATCTTGTTTAAACACAACAACAAACAAACCACTCCTGGTTCTTAGCCCAAGATTGTGTGGAGTCTTTCAATAAGCGTGCAGGAAAAACTGCTGATTGAAGCCCAAAATGTGATTTGTGAGGAAGTAATAAATGAGCCAATTAGTTAGAAAGCACCTCCATTCACTCAGCATGAGACCAGCAAAGAGGTAGGCAGCATTAGAAAGTCTGTTTCAAATGTGAACATTTTTGTATAGTGGTTTGTTATTCTCCTGTCTCTGTTATTCATATATGAGAAGCTGCCCAGGTGATTTTATTAAATTATTATAAATAAGTAAATGCAGTGGAATATGTTTTAGTCTTAGGAAACTGATATAGATTAATCTCAATTTTTGATTAAATTGTTAAAATATAATTTTTAAATACTTGCAGACATATGCTGTCTGATTTCTCAAACAGTGAGTTTAAGAGAAAGGTCCTAACTTCAACTCCATTAATGCACATATTATGTTAATAATCTAAATTGAGAAAATGTATGTCATTTCTATCTTTGGCTTTTTGGCACAGCTTTAATGCTGCAAATGTGATAAAATCTCAGTTCCCCAGAGCCCGACAGGAAAGGATAGGAAGTGGTGTTGAGAGTGGTGTGTTACTCAATAAGAAAGTGACTGATGAATGTGTGGATTTGCCTTTTATTCAGTTTATAAAATCAAAATGACTAATGACTTTGGGTTCCTCTTTGTTTTCATACTGACAGTATCCTTGAAAGTTTGTTGCAAGATGCAAAATGTGTCTATTGAAGCGGTTTTGTTCCCCTTCACTGCAGATCAACAGATGTGCTGCTCTGCTAGAATACCTCCGAGAGAGGCTGGGTGAGAGCCATGCCAAAGTGGAGCCACATTAATATATTCATGGTGACAGTTGGCAAATATCTATGTGCAAATTAGTTATAAACTGTGCAGCTGTTCTAGTATAGCCGTCTCAAAATGCCTTGCATTTGTTTGTGTCTCAAATCACAACCAACTTATTGTTCCAGATGTGTTGTGTAACTATCTCTGATGGAAGGAATAGCCA